AGGCCCGCTGGTGCGCTCACGCTATCAATCCTAGCACTTGGGAGGCGAGGCGGGCGGATTGCTCAAGGTCAGAGTTCGAAACCAGTCTGAGCGAGACCCGTCTCTACCAAAAATAGAAATAAATTAATTGACCAACTAATATATATACAAAAAATTAGCCGGCATGGTGGCGCATGCCTGTAGTCCCAGCTACTCGGGAGGCTGAGGCAGTAGGATCGCTGAGCCCCGAGATTGAGGTTGCTGTGAGCCAGGCTGACGCCACGGCACTCACTCTAGCCTGGGTAACAGAGTGAAACTCTGTCTCAAAAAAAAAAAAAAAAATGTAAAGGTCATATCAAGAATTTGGTATGTTTTAGGTATTTTAGAAAGTTGCATATACTGTATGGTTAGATGATACTTCAAAACTTTATGTATCATCTACATGAATATCTAAAAATTAGACTTATTTTAGAGGATCTACATTTATCAGTGAGCTTAATTTGCCTTTGAATAGACCTCAGTGTATATTGAGTACATTATAGACCCCTTAGTCAGCTAGACATATACTGTTGGGCTTTTGTTTTTCTAGTAGAAGCAGGGGAATTACTTTGGGTCATCTTCACTTTCCTGGTGAGGGCCTTTTTTGTTTTTTTTTCGTTTTTTGAGAGATTTATTGTTGGAGATTTTTTGATAAAGGCCATTCTTCACTGGTAAGTGATATCTCATTGTGGTTTTGATTTGCATTTGGTCTAGCTGTGCTGGCCAGACTGGTGATTCAGACGGATTGATTGCGCATCATTGACTTCATGGGTTCATATGTTTGCTTGGCCATTCTTCTCTCTCTTTGTACTCTCGAAAACGTGAAAGCTATAAGATATATTCCACTTCTCTGTTGCTCAATGGCCCTAGGTTGACCGCGCGCCACTTGTTGGGCAGTGTCTTAAATCAGGAGGCCTGTGATATTAATATTTGGGTTTAATCTGGCTAAGATTTTCTCGTGAACGTTTCCGCTAGTTCTTTTATCTAGTATCTAGTCCCTTATCGGATCAAGATGCTATATATCTCTCTCTCTATTCTGTAGGTTGTCTGTTACTTTCATGACTATTTCTTTGCTGTGCAGATAAGCTTGTAGTCTTGTATCATGGCGTTCTATGTATTACCTAATTTTGTACTCGAACTGCCTTTGTGCAATGTCCGATTGAACTTCTTCTGCCTAGAGTCTTAGAAAAAGCTTGTCACTAATGGGGCACCAGAGCATGTCTCCTAAACAGAATATGATTTTTATTTTTGATAATGATAAACTAGGGCGAGTATAGTTTCGCTAGACCCTTTTTTCTCCTCTAGAGTTCTAATAGTTTCATATTCTTAGGTCTTAAAGTCTTGTTATCCCAGCATTGAAGTTGGTTTTTGGTCGAGAGGTGAAAGGTGTGGGTCCTGTTTTAGCCTTCTACAGGTGAGCTATCCAGTTCCCAGCGCGCCCTCTAATAGTGTATCTTGAAAGAGGTATGTCTTGTTCCCCAGCGTATGTTTTCTGTCTGCTTTGTCAAAGCATGAGACGGCGGTCGTCTAACTAAGATGAGGATGGTCTTTTCCGGCTAACATAACGAGATTCTCACAGTGGGACCTACGCTGCTTCCTCACTGGTCTAATATTCCTGTTTTCCCTGTGCCAGGATACCATCTAATCTGTGTATTAATTTTAACTTACAGCCCTTTCTGTATAATCGATTATAGCTTAATAGTCTAGGCCTATTACTAGTGCCCTCTCATCCCATTTCTGATTATCTTCTGCTTTCTCTCGGCTAGAATTATTGCTCTTACTCATAGAGCTATTCGCGGGTCTTCTTTAGGAGAGCTCCAATTACGACAGTCTGATATAAAAAAGTTTATATACTGATTCTGTTCATATATACGTCTTCTGCGTCGAGTGAAAGCTCGATATCAAGACTGGAATGGAATCTATTTTGCCTAGAATATCGCTGATGCACTCTAGAGGTTCTGTTCTCTGTCTCTTAGAGCGATGAACAAGGAGTTAATCTGTGAGACTAGTTTTGATTCTTGATGTGAATTGTGAGAAAAACAGCCTGATCCTCCCACAGACTCAGGCTGGTTTTGAACTCCTGACCTTGAGCAATCCGCCCGCCTCGGCCTCCCAAGAGCTAGGATTACAGGCGTGAGCCACAGCGCCCGGCCGTTAATCACTTCTTGAGCAGAGAGAGCCCAGTAGTATGGCATGGGAGAATGGGATTTTAAAAAAATGTGTGTGGTCTTCAACATAGGTATTTCATGTGGGTTTTTATATATTAACTTTTTTTTATATTTTTAATATATTTTATATTCTTTTTTCTCTCTTTTTTTATTCTTTCTGTCTTAGATGACTAAAGATGCTACAATATATTAACATTAAGGAAGCATTTAGTAGTTACTTCTTTCATCAAAGATCCTGCCTTTAAATCTTTGTGCATATATTAATATGTATGTGTGTATATGTGAGTGTATGCCTATGCAATTTTTTTTTTCAGACCAGGTCTCATTTTGTTGTCCAGGCTAGAGTTAAGTTAATTAATCACTGATCCATTTTCTCTATGTCATTTGATTTGTTGAGTATCAGTGTAGCTCACGGCAACCTCACACTCTTGGGCTCAAGCAGTCCTCCTGCCAGAGCCTCCCCAGTAGCTGGAACTACAGGCATGTGCCATGACTCCTGATTAATTTTTGTTTTTTGCACAGAAAGTGGGTCTCTATGTTGCTCAGGCTCATCTCTAACTCCTGGCCTACAGTAATCCTCTTGCCTCAGCCTTCCAAAAGTGCTGGGATTACAGGTGTGAGCCACTGTACCTGGCACATATGCAATTTAAAGATAAGTTTCTTAACGTTTTCTATGCAATGCTTTCAAGCGACACTTTATAATTTGGCAGTGATTAAAGGTACTTTGAAAACTTGTAAACTTCTACCTTTTTGACATTGTTACCTAGGAAGCAGAAAAGCTTTTTGCTTTTGGTTTGTGTTAAATCACATCAGATGTTATTGATTTTTAGGTTTCATCAGAGACAGTTAATGAACCAAAGCCAAAAAGAAGAGTTGTGTCCTCTGGCTCCTACTGAAACAAGGGCACCCCTTATACCTGAGCATTCAAGCCCTACTCAAGATTGCCAGATAGTTCAAGAAAGTGGTAAGAAGTTAATTGATCGTTGATCCCTTTTCTCTAAGTCATTTGATTTGTTGGGTATCTTAAAACAGAAAAAAATACATATTTTTATAATTTTGTATAGCTTTTGTTAACCTTAGTGGTCATTTAGATCTTACGTTTTGTATATATGTATTTACGCATGTGTATGTATGTATATTAGAACCATCATATTTCTAATTTTTAAAAACATTTCAAGGGCTGCTATCTTTTATATAGACCTGATGCGTTGATTATTCCTATGATTATTACAAGAATTCGTTTTGTTTAAAATGTTTGGTTTGATGTTTTAGGCATATTGGAGGAAGTCACTGAAGGCATTTTATTGCATTTTACTGTATTTCAGGGATTAGATTTCATTAAAAGGATACAATTAAAAAAACTCTTTAAATATTTAGTGGTTTAAATGACACTCTGTTGATTCTTCCAGAACCTGTCATCCAAGTCAATTCTTGGGTTGGGATAAGCAGTAATGATGATCAGTTATATGCTGTTAAGAATAATTTTCCAGCCTCTGTACACACTACAAGATATTCTCGAAATGACCTGCACCTGGAAGATATACAGACAGATGAGGACAAGTTGAATTGTAGTCTTCTCTCTTCAGAGTCTACTTTTATGCCAGTTGCATCAGGACTATCTCCAGTATCACCTACAGTTGAGCTGAGGCTGCAGGGCATTAACATGGGCCTAGAAGATGATGGTGTTGCAGATGAATCTGTGAAAGGGCTGGAAAACCAGCTCTTGAATAAGGAAGAAGAAAAGGCTTTATGGACTGCAAATGAGAATTCTGTTCAAATGAAAAGTGAGATCATTATGGAGATAAATGAGAAAGCTGGGCTATTACCTTGTCCAGAGCCAACAATAATCTGCACTATCTTGAAGGATGATAACCAGAGTCTTACATCTTTTCCTGAGACAGCTGAACACGATGTCTCTAATACACAGCCAGATGATCAAGAAACCATGTCTCAAACAGCTTCAGAGAAACTTCCCTGTATGATTGTAACCCAGAGATCTGTTGCTTTGGAACATGATAAAGTTGCCCTTCAGAAATTGAATGAAGCAGCCACCAAGCTTCAGGCCTGTTGGCGGGGCTTTTATGCCAGGAACTACAACCCTCAAGCCAAAGATGTGCGTTATGAAATCCGGCTGCGCAGAATGCAGGAGCACATTGTCTGCTTAACTGATGAAATAAGGAGGTGGGTCAAAAGTCCTGTTAAGGTGCTATTTTGTTGACTTAGGGGTGTCAGATTCTTACGGTTGATTCAAAATACTGTGCTGTTATGATCATAACGCTTTTTATATCATGTAGCCTCTGTTGGTTTACTTGTTTGTCTCCTACAATATACAGAAAGCATCTGGAGAGCAGAGACTGTTATATCCCTCTCCATCCCAGCAAAGCAATTGGTACATAGATACAGTGTAGCAATAAATGTTGAATGAATGTGAACTTTATAGGCATCTATAATTCTAAACATAGAAAGGTACATAAAATGTAGAAAAACTGAATGAGTATAAAAATAAGAAGAGAAAGTCTACATAGAATTCAGTAAGTGACATAGAACTAAAGAAAATAGTAGGGATTCAAAAGGGGCTAAAATTCTGGGGCTACAGTAGGAATTATTCCTTAATTCCATGGGTCACATGTTTTACTGAGTGCCCACTCAGAAAAATTAGGATTTTATTAGTATTGCAACTAGTGATATTTATTAATATTATCAGGCAGAGTAGGAGGAGGCAGCAAAAGAGACTGACAAGGGACAGCCAGAGTGGTAGAAAAACTAGGAGAGTTCCAACTCCAATGGGGAAAGTATTTCAGGAGATATGAGAGGTGCCACAGGGAGAACAGAGAACTTATACATTAGATTTAGCAGCTGGAGGTTATTGGTGACTGTGTTGGGAATCCCCAAGACTATCCACAGTTTTGATGATGAACTGAAAGGACTCAGAACTCAGGGGAATTGTTCTGTTAGTGGTTGTAGTTTATTACAGCAAAAGATACAGATTAAAATCAGCAAACAGAAAACGTGAATAGGGCAAAGTTCAGGAGAGACCAGGTGCAAGCTTCTAGTTGTACTCTTCGAATGGTCATACAGACAAGGGCTTAATTCTCATAGCAGTGATGTGTGACAACATATACAAAGTATTGCCAACTGGAGAAGCTCATTTGAGCCTTGGTGTCTAGAGTTTTGATTGGGGTCAGTCACAAAGGCATTGAGTGCCCATGTGACTGACCTTAACTACTCAGACCTCAGGCCCCCTGGAGGTCAAACTGATACACTGTAGCCTAGGGCCCCAGGTAAACAAAACAGGTGTTCACTAGAAATCACATTGATCGCATAAACTATCTTGTGTGGACCAAGACCCCAGGTGTGCAAAGAAACTCTTTTCAGGCAGAATATTCTAAGGGCTTGGAGGTTATCTCTCAGGAACCAGTTAGGGTTTGCTGATCTCTCTGAGGGCAGCTTTGGTGGTGTGAGGTATGAAGGCCAGCTTGGAATGGGTAAAATAGTGAATGGGAAGTAAAGAGTTTAAAAGATGAGTATAGCCAACTCTTGGGAAATATATTGAGGAGATGAGAGTAGTTGGCTCTTGGAGGAAAATATGGAGTTAGAGAAGATTCTCTTTTAAAGATGGTAAATATAGAGTGTTGTTTATGTGTTGATGGCAATGATTCAATGAGGAGAGAAAAGAGGTGGTACAGAGAAAAGAAGGGAGAAGTACAGGATTAAAGTTCTTGAGAAGATGAGAGAAGAAGAGACCGAGGGCATAAGTTGAGGAAGTGGCCTGAGGTAGGAGCAGGAGCAGGAGCAGGTAAGGTGATATGTTTGGTGGATGGGAGGAGGGAAAGTCCTGTCTGGTGCTTTTCCCTTTTCAATAATGTATAAGATGTGGTCAACACCTGAAAATGAAGAGAGAGGTAAAGGAGGTTTTAGGAGAGAAGTATAAGGTATGAGGTAGTCATCTTAAAAATGAACTTAAGAGGAGAATGGAAGAAGTTTGCTGGATAATGTGAGGAAAAACTTAAAATTGCAAAACAATAGGTTAGGTTGTATGATTTTTTTTTTGGAGACAGAGTCTTGCTCTGTCACCCAGGCTAAAGTACAGTGGTGTTATTATAGCTCACTGCAACCTCAAACTTTTGAGCTCAAGTGATTCTTCGGTGTGAGCCTCCTGAATAGGTGGGACTATAGGTGCACACTACTACACCCCGCTAATTTTTTCAATTTTTAGTAGAGATGGTGACTTGCTCTTGCTCAAACTGGATTGTGTGATTTTCATCAGCAATTCTCAGCTGTTTACTCTGAATCAGCATGATTAATTTGGTTCAGGTAAGAAAGATTTTTTTCCTAGGTGAATAAGGCAGAAAGAGAGGGAAGGGCAAGGGAGCAAAGATATTTTAGAGGAGATAAGAATGATGGATCTTGGCCGGGCATGGTGGCTCACGCCTATAATCCTAGCACTCTGGGAAGCCAAGGTGGGAGGATGGTTTGAGCTCAGGAATTCACGACCAGCCTGAGCAAGAGCAAGACACTTTCTCTACTAAAAATAGAAAGAAATTAGCTGGTCAACTAAAAATACATAGAAAAAATTAGCTGGGCGTGGTGGCATATGCCTGTGGTCCCAGCTACTCAGGAGGCTGAGGCAGAATGATTGCGTGAGTCCAGGAATTTGAGGTTGCTGGGAGCTAGGCTGGTGCCACGGCACTCTAGCCCAGGCAACACAGTGAGACTCTGTCTCAAAACAAAATGATGGATCTTAGGATTTAATTAAGATAAAAGGGAAATGAAGGCAGGAGGGAAAGGTCATTGGGTTGGAGGTCTAGATTGTTGCAATGGGGTGCAATAGCAAGTGAACTGAGAGGGATAGGAAGATAGTGGTTGGTGTTAGGGTGCTTGGAATCATTTTTGAAAGTGGTGTAGTCAAAATGTTTTGGTCTAGGGTGAGATTATGAGAATGGGGGACTGACACGGGGTGGATTATTGTTAGAACATCCATGTGAAATGTTGAGGTCTCCAAAAATGACAGGCATGGGGCAGAGAGAAAGACTGGTGCTGAGACTTCAGTGATTGGGGGCAGATAGTGGGAGGTCAGTACTTGACAATGAATTTTGAGAAATTTAACAGGATGGCAGGAGTTAAAGGAGAAAGGTAAAGAATTATTTGAAAACAGCAGTGAGAAGTAGTCTTCTAACCCACTTATATGAGAGAAGAAAGTAGCTTCCACTTGAGAGAGCTATACTGCTCTGAGAAGTTGGGTCCACTTTGGCCAAGGAAAAATTCAGAGAGAGGTTGAGTATATATATAAGGGAGTTTGCTGATTATAATTCAGTCTCAGATGGCACAGAAGAAAGGCTTGGAGGGGGCTAGAGAAAGTGAAAGATTGGGATCAGAAGTTTGGAACAAAATAGTTGTGACAGTTTGAGTGATGATGTATAACTAAAGAAGCCTTAGGTTTGTGATAGGCCTAATATGGAGAGAGCAGCAGTGTACCCAGAGTTAAAACTTTAATGAATGAGGGAGAGTGATGGATGGAAGGTCAGTTAGCAAGGAGTATGTCAGGGACTGTGGCAAACAGGAAAGTGAAGTTTGATGGGATTAGTCCTGCTAGTCCGTTAGAGAGGGTGTTTCCAGCTATGATCATGAATATTTAACTCTAGTGTGATCCTTAATTGTTTTGGAGGCTTTGAATAACCACTTCTTTCTTCATCTATTGTCCCTTTGGTGTGTTTGGATGGAAAATTGAAGCCAGACAAGGCTTTTTTATCCTATTTTTTTTATCACTGGCAATACTTTGTAGAACTAATGTCTGAATTTCAGTCACATCTCATTTGGCTTCTATTTTGACTTATAGTTCAAAATTAAGGTTTCATAGCTTTTGATTTTAAGTAAGAAAAAAAATTTAAAAAATTAAGGTTTCTGTTTAGATCTTCTAAAAGTAGAAAGGACTATTATTAAATTATTAATCTCTTTAGAATCCATGTGCTTATTAGTTATAATAGGAAGTATAAGTCAAAGCACCCTTACTTGTGTCAATAATGTATTTTGAATTATAGATTAAGAAAAGAAAGAGATGATGAACGTGTTAAAAAATTTGTGCAAGAAGAGGCTGTCAAATTCCTTTGGAACCAGGTAAACCCCTTCCTGCTGATTTACCTAATATATGAACAAAGAAAAATTTTAGATTAATTGACATAGACTAGTCAGGCATATTAAGCCTTCTTTTTCAAGGTTAAGGGTGAGGTTTATGCTCTTTGCCACTAACTCTGAATGAGGACAATGAATTCTGTTACATTTTATTTAATCTGAAGACAAATGCTTTTATAATTTTGACAAGAAACAAAGTAATATAAAGCTGAAGGAAGGGGGCTTAATTGAAAAATGTTATAACTTTCCAATAGATATAAAAAACCCAATTTGAAATTTTATGTAGCTATTTATCTGTTTTTATCTTTTGGGAATATTTGAATGAAAGGTGACTAAGATGGTATATAATGGCTATAATATGCATGTCCTAAAAAGTATATGTGACTATTTGGGAGAGAGAATTTGAATCTCATTATAGCACACTGTCAGGGCAGTTTAAAGCAGTTGGTTTTACTTCCTTACTTCTTGATGATAATTTATTGGAATTTTTTTTTTTTTTTGAGACAGAGTCTCAATTTGTTGCCCAGGCTTTAGTGAGTGCCGTGGCATCAGCCTAGCTCACAGGAACCTCAATCTCCTGGGCTCAAACGATCCTACTGCCTCAGCCTCCTGAGTACCTGGGACTACAGGCATGTGCTACCATGCCTGGCTAATTTTTTGTATATATATCTTTTTTTTAGCTGGTCAATTAATTTCTTTCTATTTTTAGTAGAGATGGGGTCTTGCTCAGGCTGGTTTCGAACTCCTGACCTCGAGCAGTCCTCCCACCTCAGCCTCCCAGAGTGCTAGGATTACAGTCGTGAGTCACCACGCCCAGCCTTGGAAATATTTTTATAAAAGAATTTGTTGGCCAGGCACGGTGGCTCACGCCTGTAATCCTAGCTCTCTGGGAGGCTAAGGTGGGCGGATTGCTCAAGGTCAGGAGTTCGAAACCAGCCTGAGCAAGAGCAAGACCCCGTCTCTACTATAAATAGAAAGAAATTAATTGGCCAACTGATATATATATAAAAAATAGCCGGCATGGTGGCGCATGCCTGTAGTCCCAGCTACTCGGGAGGCTGAGGCAGCAGGATCGCTTGAGCCCAGGAGTTTGAGGTTGCTGTGAGCTAGGCTGACGCCACGGCACTCACTCTAGCCTGGACAACAAAGCGAGACTCTGTCTCAAAAAAAAAAAAAAAAAAGAATTTGTTATAACAGGATTTGACCCATAAAATTAAAATATAATTATTGATTTTTAAGGTATTGTAATTATAAAAGTACGGAAATGTTACATAAGTTATAGAATATAATACTATGGAACAGTTAAAAAGAGTAAGGTAACAGTATGGACTGATAAGGAAAGATCTCCAAAATAACACTTTTTAGTGAAAAACAGCAAAGATGCAGAACTTAGGGTTCCACTTGGTTTTAAAAACTCCCTGAGTATTTTCTATTTTTAGAGATGGGGGTCTTGCTTTGTTGCCCAGGCTGGAGTGCAGTTGCTATTCACAGTGCAGTCATGGCACACTATAGCCTGAAACTCCTGGGCTCTAGTGATCCTCCTCCCTTATCCTCCTGAGTAACAGGGACTAACAGATGCATGCACTGTGCCAGGCTTCCCTGTGTATTTGGAAATACTACGTAGAAAAAAATCTGTCATCAAACTGCTGTCAGTGATTACCTTGCAGGGTGGTCAGATGGAAACTAAAATTCTGTATATTGCTTTCTTGCCTGCAAGTTTTTACAGTAAATTTTTTTTGAAAGTTTAATTATACTTTTAAAATGTAGGCCGGGCGTGGTGGCTCACGCCTATAATCCTAGCACTTTGGGAGGCCGAGGCGGGCGGATTGCTCAAGGTTAGGAGTTCGAAACCAGTCTGAGCGAGACCCCGTCTCTACCAAAAATAGAAATAAATTAATTGACCAACTAAAAATATATATACAAAAATTAGCCGGCATGGTGGCGCATGCCTGTAGTCCCAGCTATCGGGAGGCTGAGGCAGTAGGATCGCTGAGCCCGGAGATTGAGGTTGCTGTGAGCCAGGCTGACGCCACGGCACTCACTCTAGCCTGGGTAACAGAGTGAACTCTGTCTCAAAAAAAAAAAAAAAAAAATGTAAAGGTCATATCAAGAATTTGGTATGTTTTAGGTATTTTAGAAAGTTGCATATACTGTATGGTTAGATGATACTTCAAACTTTTATGTATCATCTACATGAATATCTAAAATTAGACTTATTTTAGAGGATCTACTTTATCAGTGAGCTCTAATTTGCCTTTGAATAGACCTCAGTGTATATTGAGTACATTATAGACCCTTAGTCAGCTAGACATATACTGTTGGGCTTTTGTTTTTCTAGTAGAAGCAGAGGAATTACTTTGGGTCATCTTCACTTTCCTGGTGAGGCCTTTTTTTGTTTGTTTTGTTCTGTTTTTGAGATGAGGTCTAGCTGTGTTGCCAGACTGGCCTACTGCTAAGGGCCTTTTGTTACCAAGACTTGTACCACTTGTGCTAGCCAGGATTAGGCTGGCAGTGCTATCAAAAGGATAAGGGAATCTGGCAGTTTCTAACTCCAGTTCTACCATTTACCAACTTCATGACTGCTAGAAGAAAAGCTCAAAGGACAATTCTAAAACAGATATGATTTTATTTTATAATAAAACTATATCCTCTGGTTTATAGGTGAGGTCTCTACAAGCTTGGCAAGAGACAGTGGACCAGCGTCTAAGTTCCTGGCATACTGATGTACCTCCTTTACAAGTACTCTGGCACCATCTGAACCTCCATTATTACTCAAAGTCAGGAACCATTTCTGATAAAATACTGATTGGTTCATTGCTCCTGATGAAGCTCCTCAAGAGAAATCATTTCCAGAATTTCCGACTCTGGTTTATTCCTCCTTAACAGAACAAGTTCACTGTTTGCAGGATTCTTTGGATTTTGAAAAAAGTTCCACAGAAGGCAGTGAAAGCTCCATAATGGGGAATTCCATTGACACAGTCAAATATGGCAAAGAGTCAGATTTAGGGGATATTAGTGAAGAACATGGTGAATGGAATAAGGAAAGTTCAAATAATGAGCAGGATAATAGTCTGCTTGAACAATATTTAACTTCAGTTCAACAGCTAGAAGAGGCTGATGAGAGGACAAATTTGAGGAAGGCTCAGGAGATGTAAGCATCACATAGCTTTTTCCTGGAAAAGTTAGATACCTTGTCTGTCAGTGCTTCTGCAGATGAGACTCATGGCATATCTCCTACCTTGCAAGTGAAATCAGCCAGACATCAGAGAATTGTAAATTAAATACAGAAGTTCAAGGGCAGCAGCCAGAATGTGATTCTACATTTCAGGTATTGCATGTTGGTGTTACTGTGTAGTGTATCTGGTCTCTTGGGAGCTGAAATTCACTTAACTTTTCTTAAAATATTTCAGTTGCCTTTTTTTGAATGGAAGTTCTCCCCTCTCCCATTTTGTTACTATTTATATAGAATTTATATTTTGTCTCATATTTTCCAGATTCTAGATATTGAACTGAGTCTTCATTTTGGTTTTGCTAGCTTTTGCTTAGCGATAATGTACCAAACTATGTATATTGAAAGCTATATGCACTTTATTTCTTAACAACTGAATTGCATCAACAATGTTCCATTTCTTTCATTTACTCATTTCCTTTAAAAAATAAACTGGAATATATTAAAGACAAAAGAAATCTAATATAAGAGATTATCTTAAGATATAAATAAGAGTGTTTTGATTCTTCTATATCTGAGGAAATTAATTATATGGTAATAATGCAATTTGTTAAAGAAAATATAAATGATAAATACGAGGACTGTGAATTATTAGAATTTCTGGTCTCCTTGGAATAAGAATATATTTTTAAGACTTTTTCCCCTCCCATCAAATCAGAGAAAGCCTTTATATAAGCAAATTTAGGAAGAAAATTATAGGATTTCTCAGTGGGGATGATTAAATGTCTTATGGAAAACTTTAGTTAATGTCATGTATCAGTTTTAATGTATGAAGAAGTAAAGTGTTCCATCCAGGATTAAAATCAACCTTTCTTAGGCAAAGCAATATTTCATTTAGATAGAGAAAGGAGATACTATAGCCACTTGGAATAATGTCACAGCATACATTTATGTTTTCAGTAAGTGCTTTCTTACCCTTATTAAACATTTATGTGCCAATATATTGTCAGAATTAATGTATGTTAATCATCTATGTTCTGCTTATATTATGTATTTCAGCAGAAGTTCCATGGCCATTCACTTCACTTTGACCTCTGCCCCATAGTGGTGAACATTTAAAGTAATACTAGTGGTAGAATATGATGAGTTTTTTAAAACTATTTCTATATAATCCTGAAAAGTGCCACATTGGAAGACAGTTTAATGGTGGTTAAGAAAAATAAACTTCACTTACTTATTAAAAATAATATATATCTGTAACTTTAGGAAGAAATAAGATTGGGTTTGAATGTTGTAGGTAGATGCATATCTAAATAAAGGATAATTTTGGAAGTTTGTTTTTAATCTTTGAGAATGTTCTAATATCATTGAACAACACCTATTGATTTTCCCCACCTACAGACATACAGCTGTTTACAACTATGGCAATACTTTAAGTGTTCTCTAAATTTAGGTGCTAAATATTTATTCATTATTCTGTTATAATCATTGGTCCCCTTCTTTGAAGTTATATAAAATATAAACTTCTTATCCTTCAAGAATAAAGTAGAGGATCACATGGTGCATGGTATTTGTTGATAGTCATAAACATTTCTCTAGTATGGTAAGATGTATTTTCTTGGTTTATAGATATGTAGCACTCAGGTTGAGAAGACTTGGATTTCATTCTCAGAAATTTAGAATCTCTTGAAAAAGAAATGTTTTCTATCTCTTATAAACAAAACAGCAGTCCTACCTTCAAAAGGATTTTCCCTAGTGAAACATGTGTAATGTTAAATGCATGTTAAATAAAATGGATTTTTTACTTTTTGAATAA